CTTGTATTAACAAAACCATAGAAACACAAAAAACAGCCAAAGGGCGGGGGGAAGAGAGATCCCCCTGGGCGGGGGGAAGAGAGATCCCCCTCCCAGGAACTAAAAAAGAAAGAGCTCTCCAAACATTAACGTTCTTCAGCATGTTAACACCAACAGATAATACTTGAAGGGCAAGCAAATTTGAAAAGTACAAGCAAGAACATTTTCTTACACCTAGGTTAGGTTTCCATCCTATGTGATTGTTTAAGACAACGTCATTTTCACTTAGCAGGCAACCTGATTCTGGGACCACCAGCCTACCTCCCAAATACCTCAAAGATTAAAAAACCCACTCCGGCTGTAATTACCATGTTCAGTGTCTTATAACTGTAACTCTTTTAACACTCATTCCCAATAAAATAACTAAAGCTTACCGCATAATATAGTATCCATATAGTAAGGTTTAAGAATTAAGAAAAAAAAAAAAGCAGCACTATTTATAAACATTGGTTGGTTATGTCACTCTAAAGAGATCAGTAAAGGATAAATGAGAACTACCCTTCATAGGCCAGTAATTTGGTGATGATAATGTAGAATATTCAAAATCAAATTGTACCAAAAAGAAAAACTAAAATAATATTTAATGATAGTGTTTAAATTAAAAAGTATATGGGAACTAGAAATGTCTAGAATAAGTTGAAACCAAGAAAAAGCCTGTATAGTGTATTCCCATGTAAATGGAACGGCTACCTCGATCATGAGCAGGAATAAAGGTTTGTTAACCTCATGTATCTTAACCAGATTTTTTAGAAGTCTTTGACATGCCTAATTAAATTTTTTCACTTTCAACCTATTCAATTTTCTGGCTCAAGTTTGATGCCATTGAACCAATGCTCTATTTATCCCTACACAAAGTTATTGAGACTAATTGCAGTAGTTTAGTAAATCAATCCCCAACCATTCCTTTTCGCAAATTTTGATAAAAATTCCACGACTTGTCAGGAAAGCAATGCCTCTCACCATAGCTGCTGCCACATAACTTGATTTTTTTTCCTTACAGAAACTGTTCCTCACCTATATTCATCCTCCTCAGTTTACATTCACCCTTTTTATTTAAGTTTACAAGGACTTTTTCTTTACAACAAAATGCCCATCCAACCCTTTTTCATCCTATTCTAATTCTAAGGCGAGGTCCTAATTTCAAATGGCAACCAAGCACAGCCAACAAGAATAAAGAAAAAGGCATCTCCAGCTTGCATAAAAAATAGCTGGTAAACTAGTTTTTTAATTGCAAAACTGACTACATTTACTGGGTAAACATGCATTCAAAATTTAAAAACCTTTTTACCTTCACAAGATAACTCATAATGTCAAGGGGTGGAGAAAAGATCAAACAACACTTGTTAAAGCTCAGTAACAAAGGAACTATGGATGACCAACCTATCAAACAGTTGACGAGCCATGTAGAAACAGTAGTTCTTCAAAATGAACGTATATGATCCACAATTAAAATAAATTTCAAACCAAAAAGGGGAGTTAGAGACATTCAAATGGTCGAATACAACGAATGACCAGCCATTTAACAGAACCAGAAAATACAAAATCCAGTCAGATGATACTAAAGAGAACTACAAATTGAAGAGAAAACAAAAGAATAAAAATGAACCTGTAAAGGCAATAAAATCGGGACTTTCAGCATCGACCATTCTCTTGAAAAACAGGGTCGTATTAAGATCCGAGCAGTGATTGAGTTCGGAATCCAACACATCACGACACCGCGTGTTAGCTCCATTAGCAAAATGCATATCGGCCACCTTACATCCAGACAAAAAATTCAGCTCCGGACAAAGCATGACCATCATAATAAGCTTGAAACTGAATTGAAAAGTAAAAACAATTGAAACCTGAAGAATCTTGAAGGTACCATCGGAACGGAAGCGGAGCGGGAGATCCGGATTCCTCTTGATGCGAACGGTTTCATATCCTAGAAGTAACTTCTGGAAGATGAGAGAATGGAGAAGGAACAGAATCGAGTAGATGAATCCAAGATACAGTATCGAGTGCTTCCATTTCTCTGCCACAGATTCCATTCGCTTCCAGTGAAGGCCGAAAATTAAAACATCCACACTGATTCATAGGTTTTCATTTTTCAATCACGAAACTGTTTCCTTCCTCCGAAAATTCAACGTTTATTTTGACAAGAGAGAGAGAGAAGGAAAGAGAGAGAACTGTTTATACCATGGATAATAGTCGTTGGGCTTCGTTGGGAGACTACAGAGGCCCATTAGGCCCAACCCATCTACAGAATAAAGTATCCATGGGCCTGGCAAGATGGCCCAGTCCAGTATAAAACAGGGCCCCAATTTTCCAAAAAGAAATAGGGAAATTTTCACAGGTGCCCCTTTCTACCCTTTCAAATATTGGCCCTTTTTAACAAATCTTAAATCAAACAAATTGTTATTTCATATTATTATGTTTTATATTAATAGTACTCTGACTTTAAAGTTCAAAATTCTTAATATTTTGACCATTCATTTTTGATACATTTAATAAAAAAAATATATTAAAAAAACTACACTGAAAGGATCAACTTTTAAATAAATAAACATAAATTTTGAAAATCTTATCGGTAACTCTAAGAAGTCAAATATTTAATAATGGTAATAATAGTCGAGCAGCCATGGGTTAACCTACGTACTCATTAACTGTAAGTATACAAATCACTTGGGTCATTTATTTTCATAACGCTATCAAATTTACGTGATACTACATAAGAATGGTAATAAACACGTTTTTCAAATTTGTACTAAAATCGACATTTAAATAAAATTTTCAGTCATTTCCCATTATTTGAAAATTGGTCCAAGGAATGTGACAGGACGGGAAGACGATTGGGCTTTTATCAGACAGAAATCCGTAATTTCTCTTTCATGTGTGGGAGTGGGCACGCCACAATTGGGAGGACAAAATCATAAATTAAACAGTGACAGGCAGAGAAATAGGAACCATAATTCTTTTCAGGACAAGAAAAAAAAAAGAGGAACCATAATTATTTTATTTTATTATTATAATTTTTATTCAGTGGTCAAATTTAAGTAAAATTCATATATTTTGTTTGTCATCGCAAAATATGGAAATAATCTTATCCATGCACATGAGGAAAAAAAAGAATAAAAAAATCTTATCCATGCACGCGTATAGGAAGAAAATACATTTTTGATTCACACCATGTTCATTAATTTTTCTCTATAGTTGGTACGAACGCTTTTTCAAACATTTCATAATTCTGCACGTATAAAATATAAATAATTTTGTTGTGTACTCAGGAAAAAAAAAAGAACATATAAATAATGGTGTTTCCTTAAAACATTGTGGGTATTTTTCTTGACCTCTCAATTCTCATATTGTGTCGTGTGTCATGATTCTCATCTTAAATTTTGAGAAATTTTATTTTTTCCTTTCTAAATTTTTTTTTTTGTCTCCCTCTAACCTTTTTTTAATCTTTAATTCTATTGATTACCTCTAAAATTTTTGAAATCTCTCCAAATTTTTAGTTCTTATCTACTTCTAAATTTATTTATCTCTAAAATTTTAGTCTATCACCCTTTATAAGACAAAATTGGACAAAGAATAATGGCCCACCGTGGCCATGTATTGGCATCAAAAATTTTTGTCAGTTTCCCATAAAAATTTCAACGCTATTTTAGGTTTACGTACTTGAGGCTTTATAAATCAATAATTCGTTTTATTTTTTATTAAAGTCTTTGTTTTAGCCTCTTTGGATATATTACTTTCTTGGTAGCTCAATATGCAAATGATCAACTAAAGTGAATCGATATTGCCCATATAATGAAGGTAGATCTAAGATTTTTGTTCTTTTCCAACTTTATTTCTTTTCCTCCAACACTTTTGTCAAATTTTCTTTTAAACTTCAAATATTAATCATTTAAATCACTTGAAATTGCGCCTAACCAAACATTAAAATGGTTACCTACAAAATCGTTTGTCGTCCAACCTTTTTTTTTGGTTAAAATCACTTGTTATAAAATTATCTTCGAAAATAGCAAATAGCAATGGCTTCACAAATAATTCAGAATATATTTTATTCGTCCAATGATTTGTGTGGATGAAAATTTGAATATTCAACGAGATTATATGTAATTTGAGTGAGCTAACAAAAATAAATAAATAAGTAAAATTTACTCCATAAAATAGCCACGTGGAAGTGGAATGATAGGCAGCGTGCCAATGGGTGGTGCCGCTTTCCCGTGTTTTAACAGTGGGCGTACACGTCAGCATCCTTATATCTGCACGACAAACACGCAATTGCGCCTTAATTTCCACGAGTCCTCCTTTGTTCTTGCATGTGTTCAAACTTCATGTTACCAAATTAAATATATAATAATAGTGTATATATATATATATTATTATTATTCTCAATTTCATCTTTAATTTTTTAATACTTTAAATTTTGCCTTTAATTATACTAAAAAATTTTAATTTTATATAAAAAATTTGTTAAAAAAGTATGCCACATAGCATGTAACTCGAATAATACTTATACATGACGTCCACATGTTACAATTTCAACCATATGAATTATAAACTTATAGGCGTGTTATAATTTATATTTTGTCAAAACTAAATTTGAAATCTATAGTTAGAAGTCACCATTTCTAAATTATATGAAATTCCATTATCGACTAAACACCCAAAATGAAGTAAAATAAACGTCAAAACCATCGAATTTAGTAACTAAATCAAGCGAATAAATAAAAACATTTAAGTTTAGAACAAAAAGCTCAAATCCAACCAAATAAAAAGCATCCAAACACGATTAAAAAAACTCAATTCAAATACAAAAGCTAGTCACAAATCCGAATAAAGATGAAAAGTCGGGGCATTCATAACCATTTCGTTTTTAATCTTATGTTTTTTTAAATTAAGCTTATCAATATTACTTAGCTTCTATTGATTAGTTTTTTTTTATTTATTATTTTTTAAAATATATTTTCAAAAATATAAACAAAAAATTTTTAAAATAAAAAATAGTTGTTTTTGAAAAGTTGTTTGTGATTTTTAAATTAGGTTAACAAATCAAATGAGGTTTTAAGAAATAATGTGAAAACATATCCATTAAACGGTGATGAAACAAATTATATAGCATTTAAAAACATAAAATTAAAAATAAAATAAGTTATTAACGAGTCTCAATTAACTAATTGAAAGTATTAACTACATGACTAATCAAACTTTAAAATTGAAAGTTTAAGATTAAAAAATAAGAAGCCTGCCTAAATTTGAAGGTAAAAATTCGACTTTTCATTCTCACATTTAATTAAAATTAGCATGAAGCTCATTGATTTAAAAAAAAAAATTATACTACTTCAAATTCCTTATTTGACATAGAAGTAACATTTGTCATCTCAATTTCACTCAAAAAATTAAATGTCATCTCAATGTCACTGCAAAATTGATTTGCGCAAGAATATTGATTAGATTACTTTGACTGACGTGAGACGCATGATAATTCAAACATCAAATTCGAAAATGATGGAGTTGACTTCCTCTTCATTCTAACCCTTAATAAAATAATACATCACTTTACGATGATAAATTTAAAATGCCTATTTGAATTACTATTATTGATCCATCCACTTTTGAACTAGCTGAAGTACAATTGGTAAAAGAAAGTCGAACCAATCCATTTTGTTCCACTCACGACCAATTGATTTGATATTCAATGAGCTGTCGTATTATGATTTCTCGGACGACTTGGTCCTATGCACTACGCAGTATATACAAGAATGAAATGTTATGTGATCGGTAAGCTCATTTTGTTGGCGACCTATCAAACAAATCAAAAAACGTATTCTAAAATATCCCATGTCTGATGTCGTTTATGTGTCTGATGGGAAAGATCTACCGACTCTTAAATTCCTCATGCAGCTTGCATTTCTTTGATTCTTGGAAGTTTCGAAATGATGCCTTTAAATTTCCTGACTAGTTTACTCGACGATTTTCAACCGTTTGATTGGTCTTAATGGAATGCTCTTTTGACTAGATCTTCATGGTACTTTGTCCCAACATCTTGACTAGTATTACGTCATTCACCTATTTTATTTTCCATTTTATTTTTGCATTTCCTATTTTTTTGATAAATATTTTTCATTTTCTTTCTTCTAGTACAATAAATTGGGATGAAGATTTTTTATTTTATTTTTAAAATTGGCTGATCAATGATTTCTAATTTTCTTCATCAATTATATTGTTTTATAAACAGTAAAATAACAATGTTTTTATCCCACATTCTTTCCTTAATTCGTTAATTTGAACTTAAATTTTCTAATTCATCGAGTTAAATTTTAAACTTAAATGAGATGCATTTTCATTTTTTTAATAAGAAATGAGATGCAGTTAATACATTATGAAAATCAAAATTGAAAATTTCCAACAAACTAACCACTTAATAAATCATACAAATTTAACCAAACAAAGACACATATCAGATCTTATCACAAAAATGCCTATAAAATATTAAACGTTGGTACCAAGCTAAACAAATCCAACCCCACTAAAGAAGTCTTGTCAACCAGCAAGATGGTAAAACTTTGAACATTCAAAATTTGAGGAGATAAATTAAAAGGTTAACTAGTCGAGCTATATTCAAGTCTACAAAGTAAACTTGGGTGAGTTTGAAATACCCTCTAATTTAAATAAATGTTTTTAAATATTTTGCGTGTTTGATTAATTACATTTTGTGAACATTGATTTTAGTCACTAAGTTTATTTGGTTGCACTATATTTAAAAGTGATTCTACAAATATCAAATTGCTAAAAATTGATTCTAAAGTGACTCCCGATCAATCATTTTTTTGGATAATCAACTTTAAAGTGATTTTTTTAAAAAAATTATAAATCAATTTAATTATTTTACAAGTATTTTTTTTATTGGTTATCCAACACTTTAAATTTAAAATAAATAAATAAAGAAACACTTTTGACACGCTAAAATTACAAAAAAATTGCACGACTTATTTAGGTTTCAAGTTAAAGATTAAAATTGATGAGGTCGAGAAAATATTTTTTGCCAAGAGAAGAGAAAGAAACAGACAAAGAAACAAGGCAAAAAGATTTATGTCGTGAATTGTGAACCATGTAATATGTTGTTAGGGCATGATGTGTACA